TATATAGAGAGAGACACGTAGAATGACAGAATGACATTACCGACAAAGACAAGGAGGACTGGAATGGCCATTTCTGGCTTATTAGTCGTCGTCAGCCAGCCATACCCAAGCCCGAAGTGTGGAACACCCGAGCCTCGAACTCCCGACCTGTTGGTTTAGAAGTCCATGCCTCTATCCACCGGGCCACGAGCCCGTTGCCCTGTCGGTTTTCGATCGGGAATATTGAATGTTAGGGGGCGCTCACCGATTGTCCATGCGGAACTCACTCGTTCCGTTGTGCATTTCGGGATCTCTATCGAGCCCAACCAGTAGCCGCACAGCGGCTCATGATATATAGGCAGAATGATATTACCGACAAAGTCAAGGGAGACTGCAATGGCCATTTCTGACTTATTAGACGTCGTCAGCCAGCCATACCCAAGCCCGAAATTTGCAACACCCGTGCCTCGAACTGGCGACCTGTTGGTTTAGAAATCAACTCATCTAAACACCGGGCCACCATCCCGTTGCCTTGTCGGTTTTCGATCGGGAATATAGAATGGTAGGGGGCGCTCACAGATCGCTCATACGGAACTCACTCGTTCCGTGGTGGTGTACGGGATCTCTCTCGAGCCCAACCAGCAGCCGCACAGCGGCGCATGATATATTGGCAGAATGATATTTCCGACAAATTCAAGGGAGACTGGAATGGCCATTTCTGGCTTATTAGCCGTCGTCAGCCATCCATACCCAAGCCAGAAGTGTGGAACCCCCGAGCATCGAACTCGCGACCTCTTGGTTTAGATGTCAACGCCTATACTCACCGGGCCAAGAGCTCGTTGCCCTGTCGGTTTTCGATCGGGAATATACAATGTTAGGGTGCGCTCACCGATCGTTCATACGGAACTCACTCGTTCCGTTGTGCCTTTCGGTATCTCTCTCGAGCCCAACCGGCAGCCACACAGCGGCGCATGATATAGAGGCAGAATGATATTACCGACAAAGACAAGGGAGACTGGAATGGCCGTTTCTGTTTTATTAGCCGTCGTCAGCCTGGCAATCCCTTGTCTTTGTCGGTTTTCGCCCATTCCTCATTGAATAATACCCGATATGCAGCGACAGATATTGTCGGGTTGCCAGGCACTGATGAACTTCGTTTCGATGAAAGGCTTATGACCCATCTTGAAGGCCTCAGTGGTGGGCCGACTGCGCCTATCGCGTCTGTGTTCATGTTTATTTTTATGGTCCCAGGTGGTGGTGGTCAGTTTTATGGTTGTCTGAATGAAGGCAGAAAAAGCCCGAAACAGTGCTGTATCAATCTACCCGCATTCTCTGTCGTCCCTCCTCGCTGCTACTATGACTTGGCCGACTTCGTCCTGGTAATTGGTTGCCTGTTCGTGAGCTTTGCCACACATACGTTGCTTGTTTTCTTTGTGAAGCCAATAGATCTTTGTGCGCCCATTCCTGATTGATATACAGTACCTGTGCTAACTCATGAAATGCCGAGGTCAAAATTATAGTGGACAATGTAGTGTATTTTTGGTGTCGTTATTTGTGTTTATTTGGTTGAAATAAGGACGAAAAGACCGTTTTCTGAAGGAAAGTTTGATACGGATCTGTATATTAAATAGAAAACGGGCCGGATTAAGGCGAAATTGGAGGATTCCTGATAGTCAAGCAGTTTCCTACGCTATTAAAGCTTTCGGATGGAAATTCTTTGTGTAACCTTATTAATCTGTTTAAGAAGATTAATAAAAGGACGAAATTTTTTGATAAACTTTGGAACAAAAAGAAAAAATTAAATTTCAATGTCAACAAAATCAGGGAAATGCAGATAAATTATTTCTTATTGTGTTCAGGAAATAACGTGCGATTCTTTATCTAAAAATTATATTTAACAAATTTGTAAAGTTTTATGTTTCAAAATACCGAAATAAAAAAGTTTATCAGTGTGATTGTTTTACCAGACTGAAAATGCGTGTCGTAAACGAATATATATTGAGTTCGCGCGACATGCCGTCACTTTGCTCTGCCACGCCAAACGATAACCATGTCTAAACAATACTTATCCGAAGTTGACTTCCAGCGCATTCGAAAATTAGCGGCGGAAGGAATCCCGCGTGAGTCGTTAGCTAGTATTTTCAATATTAGCAAGGTCACTCTGTGGCGCATTATTAATGATAAAACTGTTCCTAGAAATAAGATAGGGGGACCAAAACGGTCCACAAGTAAGCAAGACGACGATTTTATTCGTCGTACATTAAAAAAGTTTCATTACATGCCCATTGAGGCCATTCAGCGGGAACATCTGCCGATGTTTTCTATGAACATCATTAGAAAAAGGATGAAGGAATTTGAACTGCAGCGGCGGAAGGCCATGATTAAGCCATATTTAAGTAGAAAACTAATTAGAGAACGGCTTTTATTTGCTAAGAATTATATTGAATACAGATCTTCATTTTGGAAGAGCATTTTCTTCTGCGATGAGGTTCTATTTTTAGACAAGCCTGCGAAGTCGCTCCAAACCGTCATATGTGGAAAGAACTTCCCAAGAGAACATAATACACCGACGGCAACATTCAAGAACTATCGGCGGATGATGGTTTGGATGGCGATTAAATTCGGTGAGCGGCCTGTCTGGCGGTCAACATCCGACACCATCAACAGCAAGGTGTTCATTGCAATTGTCAAGGATGCTTTCGGCTACAACGGCATAAGTCGGCGCCGAATGGATACTGTAATTTTGCAGGACAATGCACCTGTCCACCGCTCTAAAGAGGTACGAATTTGATGCCGCTTGCATACATAATCTAACATTTTAGACAACAACCACGCTCTCCGCAATTGGCCTCCAATCCATTTTCATCCCGGCCAACAGTCCCGATCTTAATCCAATCGAAAATCTTTTTGGAATAGTCAAAAGAAATTGGCAGAAAGCTAAGAAAACTCTTTCAATGCAGGAAAAATTGGATTTCATACTTAATAATTACATTTTACAATCCACCATAGATAACCTTGTCATGTCTATGTCGGACAGACTTTCTGCTGTTATTAATTCGAATGGACAATCTACAAAGTACTAATTTTTTGTATCTGTTTCTGTCCTTAATTATTTTTGACCTTTTGGGCGCCCTCCTCCTTTATACGTCCTCATACGTAGCCTTTATTAACTTGGTTGTAATATAGGCGTTTCTCGAAAATGTGACTTTTGTCGAAAATTATTTATTTTTATCTCAGTAAATAATATTTTCTTAACCAAACTTTGCTTTATTTTTTTGGCACATCATTTATTTTCCGCTGTCAGACTTTGGGAGCCGTAGTGTTTACCGATTTTGCGTTAAAGGCGTTAACCTGTGTTAATTTGTGACATTTCATGAGTTAGCACAGGTACTGTATATATATATATATACATCAGGAATGGGCGCTGCTATATATATATATATATATATATATATGTATATCGCGATCTTCATCTCCCGAAGAAGACGAAGAAGAACAGAGGGCGAATTCATGGACCATATTGTAATCGAACTGACATTTCGGAATCTGACTCGTTTTCATCATCAGTGTAGCGTAATTGTTGCACTTGCGGGTGTTGTGTTATTCAGTCTTGCCGCTTGCCTCGTATTATAGCCGTGCTGGACGCACGAAATTTGACCTGCATATTTGCCGCTTACTGGCTTAGACCTACCCGGAGCTTACCGCTGATAGTCCTGCGTGACCCTGTTGGTCATAAACGCAGTTGTGTCAGAACTCTCTTTCAACTCGTTCAAACACATTGTAGCGACGACAGTGGGAGGAAGGATGAGATGAATTACTTACACGCCTTTTTAAAGCCAACGGCTACCCGAAGTCCTTCATACGCAATTGCCTCAAAAAGCCTCATTTTGAGCGGTCGAGTGGAGAAAAGCCCAAGTTCTGGTTCTCAATACCCTATGTGAAGAACGTATCAGAGACAACGGCAATAATCCTAAAACCTTTTGGGATTGGCGTGGCTCATAAACCAGAATGCACCATCAGACAGCAAATCATGAAGCCCAAGGACCCGCTACCAACAAGAGGACAGTCGGCGGTGGTCTACAGCATACCATGCCTAAATTGCAATGCAAGGTATGTTGGTGAAACGGGCAAACGCCTCGGCACAAGATTGCACGAACGCCAACTTGCAATCAACCGCAAGGACAAGCTGTCTTTGGTCTGTGGCCACATACGAGAACTGAACCACAATTTTGCCTTTGAGAAAGCAAGGGTAATTGGTCGGGCCAATGAGAAGATGGCCAGACTGGTGCTCGAAATTTTGTCCTCGACTGGCACACTCAACCGAGCTAGAGATCTACATCCCGCCTACCAAGCACTGCGTACAAGGCTCAGATCAGTCCCGACAGGACCAGTAAGGCAAGCGAGCACGCGGGACCGAGAGTGAACTCTCACGGAAAAGAGCGGAATGGGGGGGCCGGAGGTCATGTGACCAAAGCAGAACACTGTCTCACCGATGCGCCCGCGAAGCTGAATGCTGCTCACCTGAACAGCAACGACCGATTAGTCCACCGACTGACGTGGGAGGGACCAAACGGCACGTTGATTTGACCATAACTTAGTCGACCCCAAAGGGAACAATGGTCACGCAGGCCTATCAGCGGTAAGCTCCGGGGAGGTCTAAGCCAGTCAGCGGCAAATATGCAGGTCAAATTTCGTGCGTCCAGCCCGGCTATAATACGAGGGAAGCGGCAAGACTGATTAA